TAAAATAATACAAAAGTTAAGTAAGAAAAGGTGAAAATTTCTAGGTTAAAAAATTGTTTTTTACTATAAGGCTTAATCCTCAAATACTGTAGTGTAAAAAACAATTTTCTAAGGCTTAATACACAGGCAAGTATAGTAGTTAAAGAACACCAGTTTGGAATCAGAATCTCTTGAGCAAGTTACTTTCTATGCCCCAGTTTCATCATCTATGAAATGGAAATAATAATGACAATACCTACCTCACAGAATTGTCAGGAGAAAATTATATAATGTATTAAAATGTTTATTTAGCATAGTGCGTGACATATAGTAACTATTTAGAGGTATCACTATTCAATTATTGTTGCCACAAACCTGTAGTAGAGCATCTTTTATTCTATCCATGGGATTCTTACCAAATTCTGGCAGAAGTGATTGTTACGGCCCAACATTAGTCACAGGTACAAAGAACTTGGAGGAAGGAATCACCCAAGGAGGACTATTTCTCTGGGGTGGCCAGATGTCACTGTTTTGACTTAAACACTATTTGTCCAGTAATTTATGCGCTCAGTCATAAATATTTCCAGTTTTCCTTCTGAACTCATGATAGGCTTACTTTACACTTCTCTGTCCACTTTAGGTAAGTGTAGCCACATCTCTTGTATTGGCCAGTGAAATGAGAGTAGAAGTGCTTTTTACCACTTCCGGGAAGAAGCTTCTTAAGAACCAGGATGTGAGTGCAGTCCTTGGCAATTGGCAGTGGCAAAAGCACAGAAATGGGGGCTGCGCTCTTGAGCCTGGGTCTTGGAGTAAAGACGGGATGGGCCTATCCACTGACCTGCGATGGACATGGGGTGGGAGTGGGAAGTAAGTTTTGCTGTCCTACACCAAGGTTTTGGGGTTGTTCGTTACCGCACAGTATAACCTAGCCTATCCTGACCGATTCATGCTGGTTACCCCTTCAAACTCTAGAGGAAAAGTATATTATTGGTAATAGTACATAAAATATGTAGCTATTGGGAGACAGTAATTTCTAATGACTATTTTGTGTGTGTGTGTGTGTGTGTGTGTGTGTTATATGTTGTGTTATATGTAAACATCAGGAGATAGAGTTTTAAGTTAAATAGATTTATAAGTTTCCATTTACATTTTTTTTAAAGTAACGTTTATATCCAATTCATATGGAGGAAAACTGACATAGCAAAATTGCCAGCCTATTTTTTTTTTTTTTTTTAGAGTCAACCATTTTGCCTAAGTCAGGACTCTGAATTCTAGGCTCAATACTTTCATTGGAAAATGGTCCCTCCCATTGAGAGCTTACTCAGAATGGTGCCTTGTGAAGCAAAGAATCTAAGATAAGATGATAAACTAAGCTACACCCATGGCCTTTGTCTCCAATAAGAAAATGGTCTTCCCTAAGCCCTATGGCACTGTTCCAGTTATAAACAATAACACTACGTAGAGGATCTTAAGTAATATGTCTTGAATAAATGAATGGAAGCAGTCCACAGTTTTTCCAAATGCCTGGACTCTTTCATGTTTGCATTTTAAAGATTTATTTATTTATTAGCACGTGTGCGTGAGTGCCTGCAGGGGGGAGGGGCAGAGGGCTGGGGAGAAAGAATCCCAAGCCGACTGCGCTGAGCAGGAGCCTGACCTGTGGCTCCGGCTTGCAACCCATGAGATCATGACCTGAGCTGAAACCAAGAGTGGGACGCTCAACTGACTGCACCAACCAGGCGCCCCATGTTTGCATTTTAAAATAAACGTCTTTATTTTAGACATTGGTTTAAAAACATCTTGGTACTAAAACTTATATTTATTCTTTCATAACACTTTACATGTGACTGACCGTGTACCCACAGATTTAGGCTATTTTATTTGGATAGTTTTTACTGCCGATTTTGTTTCACTTGATTATTTCATTTGGGTCTCTAAAACTACATTATGAAATACCTTGATTATTTAAATTAGGGAGAGATTAATTATCTCCAGTGTACAAACTCAAATTAATTTCATTATTAACCCAAGTTTTAAATTGATTAATCTTGGAGCGGTTAAGGAACCAAGTGGGTTTTTTTTTCATCCTTAAGGAGAAGGGCATATTTGATTTGATGAATCTCTCTCCATCACAGCAGTTATGCTAATAGGAGCAAGAAATTTGCACGAAAACTTTGAATAGCTTTTATAAACCACCCAGAAGCCGGTGTGTCTGGGGCTTCTGGGAGAACAATCTGTGAGTCATTTTAAAAAACAAACACACTCATAATCACAGTGCATGTTGTTACCATGGTAATTAGGCCTGTTGAGTTGGCTTGCTTATGTTCCTGTCAAGAGAAGAGGGGGAGAGAAACCGAGAATTCAGAGCTTGGACTATCAGCTTCTATTTGCCTATTTCAAGAGAGAGTTTAGGGGGTTCTTGAAAACGTACTGGCATAATCATCCTAAGAGGGAAGTGAGGAAACTCTGGCATCCTGCCTTTGTTATTGAATATAAGTTAGCCATATTAGTGTCGGGTGTTGTGATTCACAGGAGAGAAAAGGACCATTTGGCATTCTCTTGGGGAGAAGGAGGGGAAATAGGTCCTTTATCTGATGTATAATTACATGTAAGTCTCTAGGGTCTACCTGGGGAAGTGTCTTGTGAGCAGGTGCACAGAGCTTTAATGATCTTCTAAAAGGCACCAGATACCACTGGCAAAATGTTATTGCAGATTAAGGGATCTGCATTATAAAGTGCATTATTTTAATATGGGTAGAGACTGGTTTCAGTGAGGCCATTGTTTCAGAGCTGATCCCCAAGTAGATGAGATATCTTTTCTCTATTTTATGGAGTAGATATGACTCTTTTATCTTGGACAGTCATCTTATAATACAGGCCCATGGGCCACAGAGATTAGGGAGGTTATGTGAGCTCTTATGAATCTGTCGCCATTCCAGAGGAAAGTAAAATCAAAATATAATGTTTGTTTGATGGACAGTCAACAGAGTTATTGGGCCAGTGGTTACAGTAGGAGTGAGTCATTATGATTCTATCTGAGGAACAAACAACACCCTTAAATTAAAGGTATGAGTTAGTGCATATAAAGCTGTTTTTTAAGAATGTTTCTAAGTTTACTTTAAGAGGTCTAAGTATCCTTTTAACTGGAGAATTATAATATGTTGACCAGAGTTTTATTTCATTTTTTTAGAGTATTCCTCAAGCAGATATTAAAGCAGATTTTATTTAAAGCTAAAGAACTTTTCTGTATTAAAACTCTTTTTCAGAAGGCTTGAAATAAAGTGCCATGAAGTGTGATGAAAAGGTCTTACAAACTCAGGGAGTTGGTGTGTGATTTATGCCCTTGAGAAAATATAATAACTACTTCTTGAAACTGTAGATTTCATTTTTTCTCTCATATATGGACAGAAGGCACATGTTGCTTGAGCTCTATTCTGTGCTATCTTAATTTTCTTAAAATTACTAAACCATGCTTAACTTAATTTTTTTTTCTGGCAAAGTAATTCATGGTGATTATTGAAAATTTGGGAAAAAATGTGAAGAAATGACCCCTTCTATTAATTAGGTTGTTGGTTGAACCGCATGTAACCTATTTCACAGTGGGGCGATAGAAGTTCTTTCTCTTTCACATAATGACCTAGAGGTGGGTGGTCCAGGGGTGAAAAGGTAGCCCTGCTCTACAAGATCATCGAGGGATCTAGGCTTTTTCTATCATGTTCGACCATCACTTGAGCCTGTTTCTCTTGCTTTTCATCTAAAGTAGCTTGCCCTAAGGATCCCACTTTATGACCAGCAGGAAGGGAGAATGTTGGGAAGGAGAGGGCATGTGTATTTTTCCTGGTCATTTAAGGTTTTTATATGCATCATTTCAAAGTTCCATCATGTAGAGTTTTTGTTTACTTAATAAATTATATTACTGATATTAAAGCTATTTCTAACACCTTGGCGATAATTCTTTGTCTACATTTTGGATTTTTTTTTTTTTTTATAAAGTCAAGGAGTGTTCTCACTAAGACAATGATTGAGAACATATTTGAGGATCTTGATGAATAGTGCCAAACGATCTCCCTGAGAGGCTGTTAGCACCAGTAATGAGTGAGAGTGCTAGGCACCAAGCACCCTCAGACTGGCTTCTTTTGCAAGTCCCACTAATCATTGTTATCCCTAGGGTTCATTCTCTGAAAACAGGTTGTGTTTGGCCCTTGGCTTTTTTTTTTTTTTCTTTGCTGTCATTAATCATGAGATAATGCTTTCCTAACAACTTTGGCTCATTTAAAAGCATATGATCCCTTCTAGTCATCTGGGAATATAATTGGTTGGGCTGAGACTCTAGCACACCCACCAGTCTGAAGTGTCTTTATAGACACAGATGTTCATTTGGTCCTAGGACCCAATGTGAACTTGACATCCTCCGAAGTCCCTGTGGCCAGGGGTGTCAGTGTCTCTACTGCTGAACAGCCTACAGAAACATTAGATACTAAAGATGCCTTTATCATTCCTAAATTGTCCAAATCTACCCTCTTTAAGGGCTAGATACACACAAGTGGAAATCCAGCTCTGTTCATAACTCCTGGAGCAAGAATGTGTTCTGCCTCTGCCCCTTTGCTCCCTGTTGGGAGCAAACCGGGTTAGGTCAGGAAGGAAAAAACTTATTCCTAGTCATCTCATTTAATCATTTCTGTCACCAAGAACTCTGCTTCCCTTGAGGTTCCCAAGCCCACTTTATGTTTCATGAAGGCCTTTCTTGTGAAGGGAAGTTCACAAAGAAAGGGACTCTTATTTTCATATCTGTTTCTTAAAAGAAAAAGTGTTAACAGAATGTTTGTTCTTAGCTCAGAAATGTAAGCCTGTGAGACCCTCTGCCCTTAGAGCTATTCAGCCATTACCACCAAACCCTATTTATAGAAACACTCATTTGCTTATTCAGCTCTTATGTATCATGTTATTTTTCCTTTTTATAAAAACAACAACAACAACAACGACAACAACAGCATTCATTTTCCTCTCTGCTTTCTCAACAGCCCAGATCTGCCAGTGAGCCTCAGGCTTTGGGAACTGAAGAGGTAAGAATTAAGGAATATTTTCTCCCAGGAGCTTCTTGAATCTAACCAGAACTTGAAGCAGAAAAGATTATCTTAACTGATCCTGTAGACAAATGCATTTAACATGTGATGTTTATCCATAAGAAATATGCATAGAGGCTTTAGCAAAATTAAACGGGACTTCAGGATTTAAGAAAAAAAGCAGTTATCCTTGAAGATAAAGTCTGATTTCTCACCTAGATTTTCCCATTTTCTTCTAAAAACCTGAGCTGGAGAGCCTTGAGGTCACAACCTGAAAATGTATTCCTATGGCACCATACAGGATTAATCGGTTGCAGCTATTGCAGACATACCCTGTGCAAGACAGACATCATAGTAGATTAGATCAGAGAAGGGTAAGCCCTGTTCTTAATAGATTGGTTATAGACATTGTAGGGGCTTTTCCAGCAGCAACAAACAATAATAACAAAAGGTCAATCTAATGCTGTAGGGGTTTCTTCTTAAAGAAGCTAACTTGGCTTTTGAAAGTAGCTAAAGCCATTTGAATCTGCTTGTAAACTTGAAAGCTCATCGTATTGCTGAGACAGGTGATAATGTGTTTGCCCTCCCCGATCTGGATCTGTAGTCAGCAACGTGGGTTTTTTTCCCCCTATTTTAAAATTTAACCTCATTAGGAAAAATTTCAAGCTTTTTCCAAAATAGAGTAATATAATGGACTTCCATATCCCCATCACTCAATTTCCACAACTATCAACTCATGGCCAATATTTTTCATTTATCCCACCACCTATTTCTCTTCTTTCCCCATTGGATTATATGTCAGTGATTTGAATTTGGTGGTTGGATTTTTAATTGTTTATTTACATAACTATTTAGTGGTTATAGAAAAGTGCTAATAAAAAATACTACCTACCTATAACCTGATTTAGTTTACTGGAGCTAGTCTTTCATCCATGTATTTATTCAGCAAATATTTAGTATTTGCTAGTATTAGAAACTTAGAATCTCTGGTGGAGAGGGGCGCCTGTGTGGCTTAGTCAGTTGAGCGTCCAACTCTTGGTTTCTGCTCCGGTTATGGTCTCATGGGTTGTGAGATCGAGCCCTGCGTCAGGCTCCGCACTTAGTGCGGGGAGTCTGCTTGAAGATTCTCTCCATTTGCCCCTCCCCCATTCTCTCGCTCTCTCAAGTAAATAAATAAATTTAAAAAAAGAAAGAATCTGTGATCTAGAGCTTTAAGAAGAAAGGCCTGTGTGAGTATGCTTTTTAAGACCACATATAGCTACCCCATATTGAGGTTCTTTTGGATTTAAGTACTTAATATCTTACAAGTGAGTACAGAGCCATCCCTACATTCTACCAAATACAGTAGTCCCCCCTTATTTGTGGGGGATATGTTCCAAGACTCCCAGTGGATGCCTGAAACGGCACTAGTACTGAACCCTATGTATACTGTGCTTTTTCATATATATATACATACATATACACACACACACATATATATTTATACACATGCATACACACGTATGGTAAAGTTTAATTATAAATTAGGCACAGTAAGAGATGAACAACAACAATAGAACATTTATAACAATATACTGTAAAAAAAAGTTATGTGACTATGGTCTTTCTCTCAAAATACCTTATTGTACTGTACTCACCCTTCTTGTGATGACACGTGATGATAAAATGCCTACATGTGAGAGGAAATGAGGTGAATGACATAGGCATTGTGACAAAGCATTAGGCAGAGGATCACCTGTTTCCTCACAGTTGACCAAGGGCCACTGAAACTGCAGAAAGCAAAACCATGGATAAGTGGGGACTACTATATTGCTCATAATGAAGACTGTCTTAGAAGTATTTGATATTCTCTGTCTGATGTTTATGTTGATTTCTTTCATGCTAATGAGTGGACTTTGTTTCAAATCAATCCAGGCAGAGTTTCTCAATGGGAGTTGCTGGCAGGTTGGATGGGACAATTCTTCATTGTAACTCTTTGTTATTCCTGTTCTTGGCTCACAAAAGGCCAGTGGCATCTTCCAGTCATTGTGATATCCAGAGCACCCTAAGTAGACATTGAGAACTACTGTGTCTTTGCACACAATTTTAGAGGGCTTGTCATTTTCCATTCTCACAAGCATTTTTGCTTCATGCAAAATTACTGATTTCAGTTATGCTGAGTGGTTCCTTATATCAGTGGTCATGTGCTAACAAACTAAAGAAAGAAACACAATGAAGCAGACATGTAAAGAAAAATGGTGTTTTGCACTACTAGAGGGATTTTATGCAAATTTTCTCCAGTACCAAATATGTTTTTTTTTTAAGTCTATGTAGAGAAGCCAATTAAACACTGGGTAAGAAATGGTCAAATATTAGGGTTTGGAGCAAAATACTACTAAAGCATCAGGCAAATTGAAAAGCAGCAGTGTCAATGAAGGATATATTCATTTTCTGTTTGCTGCCGTAACAAATTATCACAAACTTAGTGGCTCAAAGCAATAAAAATTACAGTTCTGCTGGTTTGGTTCTGTAGGGATTTCACTGGGCTAAAAGCAAAATATCAACAGAGCTGCCTTTCCTTCTGGAGGCCCTAGGAGAGAATTCTAGAGTCTACCTTTCTTTATCTTCAAAGCCAATAGCATTGCCTCTCTATGTCTTCTACTCTATCTACATCTCTTAACTCTGAAATCTTCTTTGATTTTAAGGCCCCATGTGGTAAGATTTGGCCCACCTGAATAATCCAGGATACTCTCCCCATCTGAAAGTCCTTAATTCAATGTCCCTTTTCCCTTGTAAAGGTTATATATTCACCGGCTCCAGAGATTAGAACAGGGACTTATTTAGGGGCTATTATTCTGTCTGCTACAAAGTGAAAGAGATTAGTTGTTCAGAAAAGCAGAAAGACCTCAGGTGGCAGGGGTAGGAGTATCTAACATTTCATCGTGTAGGGTTGAGCAGGGTTAGGGTTCCCAGATTGCTGAAGCAAGTTCTTGTCTGGACTCTGCAAATCCTGTTTTGTAGATATAGCCCCTGAAGTCTTTTGCTTTTCTTGGAGTATTTGGCATTGGATCCGGTGGGCAGGTTGAAGTCCCACAGCTCCTTTCTTGGCCAGACTTTTTGGTACTATGGGTGTGGCCTCTAGAAAGTGTGCTGCCTTTGGAGTTTCTCTAACTCCGGGGTGTTTGCCCACAACGTGCAGGTTCCAAGGTCTTTGAATAGTACCAAAGAAATTGGAGATTTTTATTTTATGCTCTTATGTCTGCCTGTCATATTATGTTCTATGTATTAGGCTCTAAAATGTAGAAATTGGAGGAAAAAATAACATAATATTTTAGAACCTCACTCTAGTGGTATTTATTATAGCTAATTTCAACGGATGGTTTAATTTCCATCATATACCAGGTAGGTCATCCCCACAAAGTAAGAAACCATTTCTTGCCTCAGGAGTGAAATAGACCACTGGGTTATTTTTTGAAAATCATCTCTGGAGTAGAATGAGCTGGAAATTTTCGTTGGAGATTTTAAGTTTTTTCAGCTATTTCTGTAGCAAGTCTCCTCTCTATCCACTTCTAGACGTTCCAACAATGCAGATCTGAAGACCAAACCTAGGACTAGCAATAGGGTAAAAAACCATCCTGATTTTTCCAAGACTGGGGGTTTCCTGGGACACAGGACTTTTGGTGCTAAAACTGGGTCAGTCCTGGGCAAATCGGGACGGGTGGTCACCCCCACCAGATGTCTAACAAATGGCTGTAGTGGAAAGTAGCTGTCATGTCCATGAATTGTTAAGATAGAAAATTTTTTTAAAAGATTTTGGTTTTGGGGTGCCTGACTGGCTCAGTCAGAAGAGCATGCGACTCTTGATCTCAGTGTTGTGAGTTTGAGCCCCACATTAGGTGTAGAGATTACTTAGAAAAAATTAAAATAAGTAAATAAAGATTTTAAAGTAATCTCTACACACATTGTGGGGCTCGAACTTATAATCCTGAGATCAAGAGTAACTCACTCCACTGACTGAGCCAGCCGGGTGCCCCAAAATAGAAATTTCGATTGAACTAGGTAATGACAACAACCCCCAGCGTTTGGACTGAAGACGGCAGTGACTCCAACTCTTGGAAAATCTGTATCCACATATACATGTTTGCCCAAACCAACTTAAAAAAAAACCCAAAAAACAAAAACCCAAACCCTCAGATTCAGCACTAAGAAGAACCTGTGACATTTAGGAAGTGTTACATTTCATGCCCTACCCTTTCAGTTCTCCAGCGTTACCAGCACCCTCCTACAGGATGCCTTCCATGAACACATCTTTAATAACTTTGTCACTGAAGTGACCACAGTACCTCACTGCATCTTATTCAGCATGTCAGCATGTATGGAAAGTATAAAACCTGTTTGGCAAAGCAGCACAGGACTCTCTGAGTTTGAATCTTGTCTTTTTGTACGACAAAATTGACCTTTCCCCACCTAAGAGGCAGCATAGACTGTCCCGAAAGAGATAAGTATTAGGAAGATGATCTTGAAAGCCTGAGGGGAAGGGATTGGAGTGGATCCTGTCTTAGCATCTTTCGCAGCTCAAGAACTTGGTGCTTCCCGAACCTCCAGCTGTAGAGAGTGAGCTGCTTGCCCAGATCGAAGTAGCTGCGTCTGGGTAGACTCTTGCTTAGTCCTTCCTCCCTGCTTCCATCATACACTGCCCTGTGTTAGCCTCAGCAAGCCAGACCAGGAAAACTGGAATACTGAAGGCCCTAGGGTCTCATTTTTTACATTTCTGTGACCGTTATTTGGATATTTTTGTTCTTTAAGCCACTGGGACAAAGAAGACTGCAAGAACAGTAAATTAACTTCCCCAGAACAGACTTTTGACTTTCAACACTCTTTTTTGTTTCTTTTTTTGTTTGAATGTATTTTTAGTGTTCCCTGTCTTCCAAACTGCCCTAGTTGGTGGGTACAAGGAATTCTCCTTCAATAACCAGTCCCCACCCCCCCCGCCTTTTTTTTTTTTTTCCCAAAATAGATTG